AACCAGGGGCGAGGAAAGCCATCTCTCCTCTGCTCGGCACTTCTGAGACTGCAGCTGGAGCGCTGCGACCAGTTCTGGTCAAGGTACATATGGGAACAAGTCCAGTGAGGCCACCAAGATGATCAGGAGGCTAGAGCACAGGAGCCATGGGGACAGGCAGCGGCGTTGTTCAGTCTGGAAAACAGGAGGTCAGCGGGTAGGCAATCTTCTCACTTCAGCTGTGTGATGCAAGGGGGCGGGGGAGATAAAGCCAGGCTCATCTTAGAGGTGCACAGCAGTGAGGAAGTCTTGTGAAGTGTTGCTTCATACCACTAATAAAAGCCCAAGTCAGTACTGTCGTCTTGTACTTAATTGGTCTCCCCACACTGCGGAACCACTGGGAGCTCCTGGCAACCCTCCTGTCTCAGGAAGGGTCAGTGCGGGGGAGCCAGTCTGGGGCGTGTGTGGGGCGATGTTCCCTTGCGGTTTGGGCACCCTCATCCTGCTGGATACAGAAGTGGGAACTGAGGAGTATCAAGACAGTAGAGCTGACAGATCCAGGAAAGCAAGGGGGATTTCAAATGCGCATCTCCCACGCCAGCTTCTCCAGACAGGATGTCACACCCAGCTTGCTAAAGTCTTTAAAAAAAAAATCAAAAAACCCACAGGTAAGCACAGCCTCTGCAGGCTGGGGCTCTGGCGGTTACTGTGCTTGGCAGGGAGATGACTCTGTTCAGTGCATGATGTGCAACTGCTGTAGCAGGGGTGACAGGGCTTTTCTTCCCCAAATTCATATTCTCTCCACCTGGCTACTGGAAGTCTCTGCAGGTGACAGCTCCAGGGAATGCGGCTTCTTGTCAGAAAGTGAGGGTTTGTGATGCAGGCTGAAGATGTCACCACAGGGTGTCCAGCTCTGGCTGAAAGCGTTTGTGCTGCTGGAGCATGCCCAGGCGGTTGTGATGAATCTGGTTGTGGAGCAGGGTCTGGTGACCGTGTCCTCAGCTCCCACATGTGCAGGTGTGGTTGTCTTAAAGGCCAGAGCTCTGCCCACCACCCTTTTATAAGAGTGCCACACACAGGAGAGGAGAGGAGCGAGGTCTGGCCCATCTGCTATAAATGAGACCGTGCCAATGTTCCTACATGATTTGAACTGTGAGGAAGTACTACAGAAATTCCTGAAAAATACTCAGTTGTAGCTATCTCGCGTAACAGCTGAGACTGCTGTGGAGAAATCAAAAAGAAGCTGCTTCTGCCTGGTTCCTTCCTCCTGGCTGCTAGACTTGAAGTGTTTGAGATTTTATTTTTCTGAGACCCTTTTCTAGTCCAAGTTCTTACTGCTAGCAGGACAAATTTGTATTACGTGCTGTCTTTTCTCTGCTTTTACTATTTTTTCCCTAGCCCTTCTCTTTGCTCTTCACTCAAACATTGTAACACAGGTTCAGAATCTGAAAAATATTTCTCTCATGTATGTAGGACAGAGAAAAGCCAAGGAACTTTAAAGTGTCAGGATTCAGCGGTGGGCTTGCAGCACATACCCATGCTGCACCAGTAGCTTAAAAAAAAGCTATTATTCTCTTGCACTCTTAAAAGGTAAAAGATGCCATTACAGCTCCATGCTACAGCAGGAGATGCCAGCAAAGCCAGAGACCCTGCATGATGCATTCCTGTAGCTACGCTGTCTCAGCCCCCATGCTGCTGGACTGGTGCTGCTCTGACAGGCTGGCCTGAAGGAAAGGGATTTTACGCTGGCTGTGCTCCAGCGTGGGGGAAGGCGGGGGGAGCGGGAGAAGGGAACTGCAGCAGGTACAGAGAGGCAGAGCATTTGATCTGCCAGAGGGCAGGAAGGCTCTGCAGAGGGATCTGGACAGGCTGGATCGATGGGCCGAGGCCAACTGTATGAGGTTCAATAAGGCCAAGTGAAATGCTACAGGCTTGGGGAGGAATGGCTGGAAAGCTGCCCAGCAGAAAAGGACCTTGGGCTGTTGGTTGACAGCCGGCTGAACATGAGCCAGCACTGTGCCCAGGTGGCCAAGAAGGCCAATGGCATCCTGGCTTGTATCAGGAATAGTGTGGCCAGCAGGAGCAGGGAGGTGATGGTGCCCCTGTACTGGGCACTGGTGAGGCCGCACCTGGAGTACTGTGTTCAGTTTTGGGCCCCTCACTAACAGAAGGACATTGAGGTGCTGGAGTATCCTCCCAAGTAACTAGCAATAGGATGAGAGGCAATGGCCATTAGGAAAAATTTCTTTAGTGAAAGTGGTCAGGCATTGGAACAGGCTGCGCAGGGAGGTGGTGGAGGCACCATCCCTGGAGGCATTTAGAAGATGAGCAGGTTTATCAGGCAGGGTGGTGTTGGGTGGATGGTTGGACTTCATGATCTTAGAGGTCTTTACCAACCTTAATGATTCTATGATTTCAGACAGCCCTCGGGCACGCTGACCCCTCCTAGCTGGCTCAGAGGGCAGCTGTACTCAGTACTACCTGTGTCTTCCATATATTAAAACAGCTTTCTTCCATCCAGACTGATCAAAAAACATCTCATTTTTGAAAAATGGGTGCAGAAAGCACAGAAGACCTGCGATAGTCAGCTACATCACCTAGCAACCTCCAGTACCTGTGAAAGAAGCCAGGAACACCAGCGCTGATGATGGAGCAGTGAAAGATGAATCCACGGCTTCACAACAATTTATTGCCATTGCAGTTTGTAGTAACTGCAGCTGCTTAACCCTGCTGACAGATAGCAGCAAGAAGAAACTGAGCAAGTATTCAAAGGTATTTCTCCACTGTGACTGAGGATCATTTTTTATTGTAGCTGCTTTCTCTTCGTCCTTTGTCCACCAAAATCTTTTTCTTAGCAATATGATAAAAACCGTATAATAAAATCAGACAAAAACCAGCTTTGAACATCTTTTTATATGCCTTTTATGCATCTTCAGTAGGGATTCTGAATTTGTATTGCCAACTAAAAGATGGCTGCAAATTCCATCCCTTAATAAAAGTATCATGGACCCAACTGTTATTCCCATGTCCTGCAGAACTCCTCCCTCTCCCCCAAATGCCACAAGGAAAAAAACCGCAACAAACCCCAAACAGAACAACCCCCAGAAGGCATCCTTTGACAAACTACGTGCTACGTGAACTCTGGGAGCACTACTAGCTATTTTTAGGTTAGACTCCACAACAGTTTCCAAACAGCGTCTACATTATGTGGACATTCTTCCCCAGCTTGAACAGCTCTAACACTTGCCCCTGACGTGCTGTGGAGAGCTTACCACGCCTGCAGCACGCTGCTGCATATGCAGTGCAGGAGTAAGGGAGGGAGGGGCAGCCAGGTTCCTGAAAACCATCACTCCCCCAGAAGGGGACACATAGGAACCAAACCCTTCTTTCATTCACCTTCCCTGGTTATGCACAGTGACTAGAAACCTAGCTGCACCCTGTCCCAAGCGCTGGAGTGACACCCCTGGTGCTCAGCCAGTGCTGTTCACACTCAGCAGAATGAGGTGTCCAACACGGCTCAGAGAGGCAGAGCTGCCAAGTCTGGCCAAAACCCAGACTTGTTCACATCCCGTCAAATACTGCTTGTGAAAAGGTAGGCAACTATTCCAAATCAAACCAGAACTGAGTATTTGTATGTCACCTTGCTGTGCTAGTTCTATACAGCTTAATGTGATATTCCACAAAATTGAAATAGTGTGCTTTGTTACTTACTCCTTTGGCATCCGTTAAATATTAAAAGTTTTAAACTTTCAAGAACCAAAAATTAAAAACTGGTTAATTGAACTTCATCTTAATAAGTCACAGTTCTACTTAGTACACCTGCACCATTTTGATGGTGAGCACTCAAATACATTAAGAATTTACCCACAATAGTTTTTCTAGTAAGACAGGCACGTAGTGGTATGTAAACTGCATGTGGCAACCAGAACAGCACTTTTCAAGATTTTTGTTAATTTACAAAAAAAATATACCATACTTTATACAGAAGTGTTAAATTTGTATTTTAGAGCACAGGACCATTACAGAACTACTGTCATCTGATAAAATAGGCCATTTAAATAGGAAAACAAAAAAAAAGATAGCAGCTTTTTGCACTGAGGAAGTGAATTTCTGAATTAAAGGGCAATACATGTCCTCATCTGTCAGGCTGAGAACACCTGAAATCCTCTACTCATCTTCTTGTCTACAAAAAGCACTGCTTGCACATTTAAGGTAGTTAGTTACAAGTTTTCTGGTTTTCTATTTTCAGCTTGTATTTCTTTTCCCATATGTCACTTGACTAAGAAATCAAAAGTTAAGATGTCTGTAAAACTATCAGTTGGTTCTCTAAAACGAAAGTAGTTTTAAACCACAGCTACATCTAGGAATCTGAGCGCGATCCTCTACGAACTGCGCCCGTTCAGATGCCTTTGTTCGCAGCTGCAGACCGAACGGCCTGTCTGTTCGAAGGGAACCACGCCAAGCGTCACAGTGAGACAGTGTCAGAGCACAGCCCTCAGCCATTCAACGTTATGTCTAACGCAGTGACTTCGAAATGTAACTTCTGCCCATGCCTCCAAGAATATGACAGTTCTGCATTTTACATAGAAACAGTACAGTTAGAGTAAGTAGAAAATTTTAGTTTACAAATGGAAAAGATCTTTCTATTAAAAAAGACATTTCATGTAGTTACCTTAAATAGTTCTTATATGCACCATTCCACATTGTGGAAAAGCTGAAATACGTACGCAGTCTGGACTCCACAAGTTAAGGAAAACCAGAATTATCTGTATTGGCACAAATACTTACATCTACATCTGTACAAAGTAAAAAAAGCTGACAACCCTGTCCCACCAGTGCAGCACACCCAACTGCTCGCCAACACACACTTTCCTATGTGACTGCCACCGAGTGACACTGAGATGGGAACTCAAGAGTACGGTGCCAAAAAGTTCCAAACTGCTTTGTCGGACTCTAAACAGAGGAATTGGAAGTAAATCCAAGAAAGTGTCAGTCCACTACTCATGTCCGCAGCTGTGAGGTCACTGCAACTGCACTCGGTAGGCGCCGATTAGCAGCTTTACCTAGAAAAGTAAACAGAGGTTTCAGGTAAAGATTGCTCACATCCACCTACGGTGTTAAACACTTCTTCTGACAGAAGGAAAGCACGAGAAAAGGCATACAATTGCTAGTGACTAAGAAAGAAAAGGCGGCATTTACAATCTGTGTTTGCTAAAATCTGTTTACAGCAGCCCTACTGAAATGTGAAAGGCTTGGAAAAGGACTCAAGTGGAACACTGCTGCATTAGGTGGTGTTCAGAGAAGTTAGTCCCAAATCTGAACCAGACATACACATACACTTGTATCTGAGTATCAGTTTCATTTTGTCCCTTAAAAAAAAAAGGCACAATAAGTTTTAAATCTGAAAATCTAGAAAATTTACAGGTACATCTTCCAAAGATAAAAATAATTGCTGCCAGAACAAGATCTGTTGTTCATCTGGCAACGTGCCCTGGGACTACTGCCCAAACCACTTGGAAAATACAACAGACTACACAGGCTACCTAACAGCAGACTGCACATCCTATTAAACACCTCCCAGTTCTCCTAAACACAGAAGCAAACACATCTCTATGCAAAAAAATCACTGCCACTCCATGTATCTGCTGGTCATTAAATTCACAAGATAGATGGGGAACACGTTTAGCTGTAACATTACTTTATTCTGGTGTATGAATTATTCTGACTGCAGCATAAACCCGCTTAATTCTGACAGAACACACACCCTCGGGAATGTTCCTGAGTTCTGGCAATGCCACAGGATGGAGCTGTAACTGAGGGGAACTGGGAAGTCTTAAGTTTCACATTTGCAACATAAAGCGAGGAAGCATTTAGGCTACGGAGGAGTTACTGTACAACAACTTAACCTACACATTTAATTTTGAGAGCATTTTGTACCTTGGCAGCAGGAGCTTCCGCCAACCGTATAAAAAGCCTGTTAAGGCCTGCAGTAGGGTTGAAGGAATAAATAAAGTGACTATCCTAAAAGGAAAAAGAAAATGGACAAAGTTAATGGCAGGATATGCCTGAAAGTGCTACGCGAGTGGACTAGAAGAACACAACATTTTAACTACGCATTTCTGGAAAGAAAGTTGTGGATACTGAAGAGAACCTTCGGGGCAACCACACAGAGAAGAAGAGGACTTCAAAAAGTGTGCATGGTGATGCAGTAAATAGATTAAAAAAAAAAATAAATCAAAAAATAGAAATTAATCATTGGAAATATGAGGTAGGTTGTCAAAACAAGGCTAAGTAGTTATATTTAAGAACAAACGTGGGTCAAAAGTTTGAGAGGCTAGGTGAATCTGAGGAGGGAAAACAGCTTTGAATTCCACATTCTCACCTGCCTCCCCAAACCCTCAGTTCTGAGGCCACGGCATTACAGAAGGGGCGAGGCTGGAAGGGACCTCTGGAGGTCATCTGGTCCCACCAGGGACCATCTGGTGCTCAAGCACGGCCACCTAGCAGCAGGCTGTCCAGCACCATGTCCCTGCCTCTTAAGGCATAAATTTTTACTGAGTCCAGTATATGCAAGGTTTGTAGTTCTCTCTATATACAAAGAAGAGTTCAGTTTCTTTTTTAAAAAAACTAACCCTATCATGATAAAAGAAAAGCTTCATCACAATACTCAAAATGCAAATTAAGGCACCAAGATTTCCCAGGCTGCTCCATGAAGGCCTTATAAGGCAGTTTTACAGTCAGTCATACGAAAATATTTACCAAAAATACAGGGAGCTGAAATTTGTCATTTAAAACCACAGCTTGTACACTGCATGGTCCACAGAGCCGAGCAACAACTTCTTTACCAAAGAAATTGGCATGAAAAACAAAGAGAAGAATTCCAGATCCTGAAAGGGAAGGCAATTCAGTCACATGAATTTGAAATAAGTTCCGTTATTTAGAACAACTGCGTACACTGAACATTTGATGACAGTTAGGTATAAAAATATATATAAATATTATAGGGTATATATTAAACACTAATGGAGTTTCAAAGCTACAAGCAGAAATCCAATCTCCCACGCCAGTGGATCCCAGCACAGAACACAACTGAGCTGGTTGCTAAGCTGAGAGCTTCTGGCAGCGGAAATGATTTTACGTGGCTATTGGAAAGGAAAGCAAAATGGATACGGCAATCGTCAGCACAGTTCACTCTCTGGTTTTAGGTTTACCTGAAGAGAGTTACGGAATTTAATGTGGTTTGGACTGTCCATTCTCCTGGTTGTGACAACCGAGCCCATGCAATTACAGATCTTTGTGAACTGCACTGAAATTCAACAATGTTCAACACTCATAAATGCCTCATTTTAATACATAAACTTAAATAAGGTGTCTTAATTCTATAAAGGATACCTATAATGAAAACTGGAATACTTCTATTACAACTCATAACAACCAGTAAACTGGGCAGACACAACCACTTTCAATCTTAATTTAAGTAGTATTTCAGTCACACTAATGTATTATTTCAAGAAAAATCAGTATCAGTAGGTATTTCTCTGATATACTCAAAAGGGGAACAAAAATGACTCGGCTAAGCCACGCATCAGAGATTGGTATCTGGATTCCTGAAAGAACTGAGTAACATTCCCAAGTATCTTGGGAATTTGATTCCCAGCTTCTCCAAAGGGTCTGTGGGCACAACAGAGTTGACTGCTTTTTCACTGTATTTCTAGACTGCGTTTGTGTTGTGACAGTGCTGTGACTGTATTCCAAGACTCCAGTGTGTCAGGTACGGTTTACAAAACAAGATGATCCACTACCAGATTTTCTACATACCCTCTTAAAGATTTTTCAAAATTATTAATTCTAAGGTAAACCATTCCTTTCCTATGTTACCTGTCACTTAGCTAATGTAACCCTCACAAAGTCAACGTGACCCATGACAGAAGACAGCAGCTGTGTATGTGATAAGGGAAAAAAACCTCTTAAAAAAATAAAAAGATACACACAAACCCCACCCACAATGCATCAAAGCACTGCTCCTTTCCCTGTATTCAATAGTGAGAGCATCCTTAATGTAATGTACCGCAATATAATGTCATACAAAACCAATTTTGCATAGAAGATACTTTAAGACATACTTACAAGGCAGTTTTTTAAAGTACTGTTCTACTCTTTTTTTTAAGAAAAAGAAACAAACAAAAACCCCACCACAACACCACAACCCCTACCTTCTGGCACATTTTGTGGGGGTTTGTAGTTAAAATCCGTAGAAAAGTCCGGCCCTTCACAGAGACGATGACATGCGATTGGAAAGACTGGCTCCAGCAAAGCAAGACGAGCTTCAAAATAATCCCTGATGGTATCTTCTGCTACTCTTGAGAGCCTGAAAGACCAAACAAGGCAGGCCTGCACTTCACTCAGGAAAACTACTTTACCAGACAGGCTTAATGAGAGCTGATGCACAAAAGGATTCCAGATCACCTTTTTGGATTCCCGATTACCTTCCTGGGTTCCACATTTTCAGGGGTGAATGTCTTCATCGCTAGCGTTTATGCACAGATGAACCCCAAGTCCCAATATATTGTTACTAAAACATTTTATCAGTGAGCTGTTTGTGAAATTCATCTGTTGGGCCCACAAAAGTAAAATGCTGAGACAAATGCACTGCAGCAGATGAAAAAAAAAAAAAATTCCAACTAGCCACATTATTTTGAAGGCTCTTTATGCAGACAGATGTCCCCAAAACATCAGCATGCACCTACTGGCTAAACAGAAATGGCCAACCACCTCCCCAGCGTGGCCGATTTATCAACCTGACTGCAAGTACAATGTGAAACTAAATAAATAAGTCACTGTATAATTTTACTGACAACACTATTGGAAAAACACAGTTCCCAATTAACTCTACTAAAATGCAGTGAAAGAGATCAACACTACCATTAAATACCCAGACTGGACTTTTCTGTCTGGTTTCTGGGTTGGGGGTGTGTGTGTGTCAGTTTAAGCAAGCAGCCTAGCCTTGAGGAGAGAGACCACACTAACAGTATTTGGTGCTTTTACAAGCAGGTTACTAAGTAACCCTCTTCAGAAAGCTGTTTTGACACGAATGGGTTTTAAACGCTTTCACAAGGCAAAGGTCCCAACTCCCTCAGCTTTAGAGCTTTCTGAGCACACTTCCCCTCCACGCTACCCATGATCACCATCTGCAGAATCTAAAACTTCAGTGTTTCACTGGAAAGAAACCACAAGAATTGCCACACCAAAGCAAGCCCAGAAACCCATCTAGTCATCTAGTTTCCAGATGCTAGACAAAGCCGTATCAAATATGGGAAATTAAAGAGTTGTCTTTTTTCAGTACACTCTCCATCCTAGCTTCCAGCCACCTGATTTAAAGGCATCCAAAACTAGAGACTGCAGCCCAGTCGCACCTCTCCTTAGATCTACTTAATTCCTTCTAAAATCCCAAGCATTTGTGAAAACAGCATTCTGCAACAATGAGATCTGCAATTCAGTTCTACTGTGCAAGAACATTCCTCCATTTCAAACAGAATCACAGAATGGTAGGGGTTGGAAGGGACCTCTGTGGGTCATCTAGTCCAACCCCCCTGTCGAAGCAGGGTCACCTACAGCAGGCTGCACAGGACCTTGTCCAGGTGGGTCTTGAATATCTCCACAGAAGGAGACTCCACAACCTCCCTGGGCAGCCTGTTCCAGTGCTCCGTCACCCTCAGAGGGAAGAAGTTCTTCCTCGTCTTCAGACAGAACTTCCTATGCTTCATTCTGTGCCCATTGCCCCTTGTCCTGTCGCTGGGCACCACTGAAAAGAGTCTGGCCCCGTCCTCCTGACACCCACCCTTGAGCCTCATGGCTTCGGGTTATTTGTTGCTGTTTTCCAATTTTGTTTTAAATTTTCGCCTTTTCATCTGTCCCAAGATGATGTGTATCACTTCTCCCAGTCCATCCTCACAGATGCTACTCCACATCTCTGATCATCTTTACTTTCCTTCTACCTTTTTCCTTCATGTGTTTTTGGAACAAGGTAACTGAATGGCTATTTAAGGTGTTTGGACACCATGGGCTTACACTATTTTCAGCTCCACTACTCCTATATTATCTTCCTTTTTGACTGCCAAGAAGCGCTGAACTGCTGTTTTCAGCTAATGAGTCTAGAAGCTTCCTCAATTGGCAAGAGCTGTGCTACTCTCTATATAATTAAAACTACTACAGCGATACCCCACGGACATCCCATGCAATGAGTTCTGGAAGATTTTGAACACTTAATTTATCAATATTTAATTTCAACTGCCATTTCACTGGTAAAATTAATGATCATGTTAAAATTAGCGTTCAAAATCTTCCAGAACTCATTACGCAGATCAGCCAGAATTGAAGGTAGCGTATTTTAAATAGAAAACAAACTGGAAAGGGCATCAAACAGTGAATGAGTGACACAGTTTCACCACACTGAACAGCAGGTACCAGATCACTCCTATCTGCATGCTTGCTGTTGCCTTCAAAACCTGAACTCACAAGTCATGATTTCCTTCCCTGGGGAAGAATCAGCGCATTCCATTTATCCACTTCATCTACCCCTGCTCACTTTAACCAGTTTTCTATGTTTGAAAAGTTATTAGTTTTTATGCTTTTAGCACTTTCCCCCCCCCCCCCCTTTTACCCTCCATAAAGAAGAAAACATTACTTACAGCTTCTGTCTGCTCAGGACAGAAGTTAGATGCTGTGATCTACAATACCTCAGACAAACTCTACAGTGCATCAAAAATACTGGCATCACAGTATTTTCCTCCCAGTACGAAACCGGACCATAACACATTAGTTCAGCAAAAATCAGTGGCACATAGTCTAGCTGGAAGCTAGTCACTACTGGTGTACCACCAGGGTCAATACCGGGTCTGGTCCTGTTTAACATCTCATTAATAGTCCGGATGATTATAAATTCATAGAATCATAGGTTGGAAAAGCCCTCTAAGCTCATCAAGTCCAACCGTCACCCCAACACTACCACGCCTACTAAACCGTATCCCGAAGTGCCACATCTATATGTTTTTTGAACGCCTCCAGGGATGGGGACTCCACCACCTCCCTGGGCAGCCTGTTCTAATGCCTGACCACTCTTTCACTAAAGAAATTTTT